GATGATCACCGGTGCCACATTGCCCTGTGTGCGTACCCGGACACTGTCAATGAAAACAACCTGGTTAGAGATGTTGATCTGTAAAGAGTCGCTCTTGCTTGCGTCCTGTACCGAGATCGCCCTGGCCCATACGGTACCATTGGTCTGGGCCGTTACAAGGCCGGTAGCACTGATAGTAGCCGTGCCGGTAACAGGTACCACACTCCAGGTAACAGCCTGGTTCATCGTAGCGGGATAGATGGTAGCCGTCATTTGTAAGGTGCCTGCATTGGTAGTAATGGTAGCTGCCACATTACCTTGTGTGCGAACACGGATACTGTCGACTACCGGAGCCACTGCTGCTTTGAGGCAGCGGATAGACATACCCTGACCTCTGAGCCCGCCTGCGCTTGTATTGGTAATAGCGCTGCTGTAATAAAGATATTTACCGCCTGTAGTGGAAGTGGTGCTGCTCCAGTAATAACCACGGACACCTACAAAATCAAAGGTGCCGCTGCTGTTACGGTTGCCGCCTGTGGTTAATTTCAGGTTGCTGCTGAATGCGGTGGCCGGAGAGTTGATGGCTTCACTGGCAATGATGGCTGCCCATTCTGTTTCCGCTGGTAAGTGCCAGCCGGTACCCAATGCCTTACAAGGGTCACAGCCACTTGTAGCGGTTACTGCTGCCGGTGTTGCTGCATTCCAGTTATCAGTCAGTGCTGCGCCCGCCCACCAGTTTGGAGCACTGATGTAAAAATTGGGAGTACCGCCGCCTAATCCGGTCGGGTCATTCGGCGATGGAACGGGGCTGGTAGCTGCGTTACGCTTCTGGTGTCCATCGGCCCAACGTCCCCACTGGAAAGTATCACCATAATTCAATGCGTCTGTTGAGGATGTCGCAACATTGTCGCTACCCAGGTTCTGCTGTAGCCATATATTGCCATCCGTGCCGCGTACCGTCGTGTAGGTGACCGTGCTGCCGTTGTACGGGAAGGTGACACAACCGATACTGCCGGGAGCCGCTGCCGGATCACCGAGGGTACAAGGAGGAGCGCCCGGGAGAATATTGACGATATAGTCCTGCATCTGGCCGCTGCCTACATTACCGGTACAGGCCGATGTACTGCCATTGGCACCACCTGCCAGGCGGATACGTACCCGCATCAGGGTTTTGCCGGGAGTTGCGGTTGCCGGTACTACGAACGATTTGGTTACATAAGTTGCGGCCGTATCGGCGGCTACTTCTGTCCACTCATCATTATCAAAAATTCCGTTGCGGTTATAGTCTATCCACATAGAATAGCTGTAAGTATAACCCTGGGGCGCGGTGCCAAAGCCAACATTGCTTTCCAGCCGGTGGGTGTTGCCGGCGGTGATATTACCGGTGGTCGTTGCTGCTTCCGGGAAAAAGCGGTATGCATTGGCATTACCCAGACCGGATGAAGGATGATTTAAAGTGGTGCCGGCAATGCGTACTGTGTCGAAGATAAACCAGTTGATAGGATTGGTATTGGCGGGTTTGCAATACACCTGTATCCTTATAGAATCGGAGATTGTTGCATGGGATGCTGCTGTAGCCTTTACCCATAAAATGCCGGATGTTTGTGCCGGTACGGTTAACAGACCGGTTGCATCTACGGTGCCGGTAGCTGTGCCGCCAGGCAGGATGCTCCAGTTAGCTGACTGGCTGCTGCCGGCCGGATAGATGGTGGATACCAGTTGCAGGGTCGTAACGCCTTGTGCTGTATTTACATTGCTGGTCACCACCGGGGCTACATTACCCAGCGTCGTCACGCGGAGGCTGTCGGGACCGGAAAGAATGGTATTGCTGTATTTCTTGACCACCGTCTGTCCTGAATTGGTAGCAGCGCCTTCTGCGAAAGCCACTACCGGATAACCATTGTCGAGTATGAGGGAAGTATAA